GTTCTAAGGGAACTTTGCAAGTATTCTTTCTCGGATTGGAAAGGTATGTGCCTAAATATTTTCAGGAATCATCCCTTTTTAAAAAGATTAAAGATCAATGTAACATTCTACTACTTGGAAAGATTTTCCTGGACTGTACCATCTAAGGTATCTTACCATTCTCTAAGTTTCTGTCTCCAGCATCCAGAACTTGTTTGAGCATGGAAAGATTACGTAATATTTTTTTCTGGATGACTAAGATTCAAACCTGCGGTGATCTCTGCTCCCATGCCTTATATAGTGACTTACGACAGTCCGTATCATTCTTCCCATAACGCCTCAATTTCCTTTTGGCTTTTCCCTTTCTAAGGATATATGAGATTGTAATCTTATAGGTAGGGACTGTTTTCATTCATATTTGCATCTTTTGCACTGAGTGTGTCTGACACATAAGTATTCTGTCTTTGATTTTTCTTGTATAACATGAGGTACAAAGAATATTAGTAAAATATGTCATAGGGGTCTCCTAAAGTTTATTGAATAAATGGGGAACGATCTTCAGTTTTTCCTCTCCATCTTTGAATACTTTCTGGATGGTCAAATAATAGCATTTTATGCTTCCTTATCAGTCAAGTTTGCATGCCACATCAACCATTGTCTAAGCAACCACCGTACTGTTAACAAACAGCTGCAGGCATTCCTGGGAGTGAGACTTTTTATTCTAGAAGATATTTCCAATTTGAAAATACCCAGGGACCCTCACAGTGACATTACATAAGAGTGTAAGACGTAGATACCTGGCACAGGAATCTGTTTATTCCCTAATTTTCCTTCAGGGCAGAGAGCAGCAATAGGTCTAGTTGTTAAAAATGAAGTTAATATTAATGTCATTGTATGAGCCCTGGCTTTTGAATTTCAAATTAAGACATCAGTTGATGCTGCAGGTCAAAGTTCAATCAAGTTTAATTTTAAATTGTCAGTCAACAATGAAAGAGGATCATTTTTTCTAAAGTCATATGAAAAGAATCCTATCTTTAATTTGGTTTTCCTGACTTCTTTCTAACTTTGCAAACGCTTGCTAAGTACTGCCTTACTTCCTCATGTGGAAAATGGGGTATTAGTGGTTGAAGAAATGGCTTGGTAATTAAGAATACCCAAGTTTCACTCCCAACACCCACATGGTGGCTTACAATTGTCTGTAACTCCAGTTTCAGGGGATCCAATGCATTTTTCTGTCCTCTGTAGCACCAGGCATGCATGTGATGTACAGACATACATGAAGGCAAAACAAGCCACCCACAAAGCGATAATAATAAAAAAAATTAAAAGTATACTATAACATGTAAGTAGTATTAATAATATAATATTTATAAGTTCTTGGCACATTAGGTAGTTTGTAACAGTTCTCAGTAAATAATGCTACTAGAATGATAACGACATCCTTTTAATAGTCCAAGTAAATAGGTTTTAACTGTCCTCAATTAAGCATGGGAAAGGGACTACATGTTACAGAAGAGCATGAATGTCGCAAGAAGTTGCAGAATACATGACTGTTAAGCTATAGCCTGTGAGAATTCAGTTTCTACTAAAGGTGATACAAAGCTTTGAAGATATTACTAAAAATGGTTTGGGTCAAGATCAGTTATTCAAGTGAAAAGTGGGGAAGGCAATGAAGCCAGTGGCAGTTCTCAGAGTCTCTGTCTAATTTGTGAACACATTAACAACTTGCCTTACAATGTGATGAATCCACAGATGTATTTGAATAGCCTCAGTCAAGTTGGTTGACTCTAATGAAGTCTTCCATTTTCTTTGAGCCAAGTAAGAAGCTGGCTACATTTTCTAATAAAAAAATAATACACACATATTTGATGGCATGCTTCCGAGGAGCTGTTATTTCAAGTGAAAGGCAGACATGCTTAGTTCATGGGAAACATCTGAGCTGCAGCTAGCCCTGTTGGCTCTCCTGTGGAAGTGCCACAGGAAACTGTTAAGATAGTGATAGGAAATCAACCTACAGTTAACATCAAATATAGATACAAGACTAATAACGGGCTGGCGTTTGCTGCTGCACCGAGACACACTTCAAGACTGGAAAAAAAAATACAGCCCTGTTATGACTGCTTTTTAAAAGTAGTCACCAAGGAATCCAAAAATAGCTACTATTTGAAGTTGAGGCCGCCTGGCAGATCAGGCTCATTACTGCCAGCCATCTAAGTAGCAGCATTTGATACTATTTATTTGTGATTCTCAAGTAGGCCATTAAGAAAAAGCCAGATAAAAAAGAATGGCTGTGTTACCAGTCCTTGGGGTGATTCACACATCTCCCTACTCATGTTATAGAAGGCAGGGTTTATGTTGGGATAAAGAAAATTCATCAAGGGAGCCAACCCAGTTAGGTACTACAGATATGCTTTAAGTCTTTTAGGTAGGAAGGCAGGGGTTGATCAAAGCTGTATGTAGGCATTCACAGCAGAGTCATAGGGATGGAGCTGCTTGGACATGTAGGGGTAATGACTTTTGTAATCCTACAGATAGTTTTATGTCAAAACTAAGCAAAATATTCAAAAATAGTAATTAAGGAAACATTGTTTTTGTTGTTGTTGTTGTTGGTGTGTGTGTGTGTGAGTGTTTTAAACTGCACACTTCTTTTATGGGGGGAATGTTAAGCACTCACAATATATTTTTTGAACACAAGACTACAATGACAATATGGTTTCTTTAATTAATAGAGGGTCAGTGGTTCCGAAAGAGGAAATGCCAGTCTTTGGAATCAGCCAATGGGGCCTCTATTAAATAGTGTCCAGATCTCACTGGTTGGTAAACAGGATGCTATACAAAGTCTGACTATGGTATTATCTTCTGTTTGCTTCTAATGCCAAGTGACGACATTGTTGTGTTTTAGTCTGCTTTCAATTGCTGTGATAAAACACTGTCCACAAACAACTTGAAGAACCAGTGAAGAAGCTGTAGTTACCGGCTTGCTCTCTCTTTCCTTTTCAGCCTATTTTCCTATACAACCCAGATCCACCTGTGCATCTGGCATATCCAGAGTAGTCTAATCTTTCAAATAGATCAAGCATTAAGTGTTTGGTATATTTTAGATCCCTTCCTGCTCAGAACACACATCATAGATTGACGAGAAAGGTATAGTATTCCTTTGTGCATTCAGCAGTGTTAATTTGGTTGAACAAGGAGAACATAGGGCTGACTTCATCATTTTTACCAGTTTATATAGCATTTTTATGGAGCCCTAAAGAGATATAGGAAGAATCTCAACAATAGTGTGGCACAGACCTTGCCTTCAATAGGTGACATTTGATTCACCTGCACAGGATAAATCCAGGGACCTAACACCAATAAGCCAAATTTGAATATATTTCACCATTACATCAATTCAGTTGAAACACAGATCAAACTGTCACATGGACGTTAAACTGAATGCCAAAAGTCACACACCATTACCTTCACTGCAAGTGAATATTTGATCTATGCTCCAATGGGAATTCATTATATATTTATTCATGACAACTTCCAAATCAGTAATTTTTCTGGATGTTAAATCCCCAGTTAGACAAAACTCCTGCAAAGTTAACAAACCCCAAATTATGCTGTTATCAATGATAACATATTAAATCTGCAAGGTCACCACCGATAGGTGTTCTGAGGCAAGTGAGGTGACAGAGAATAGAACATCATTTTCCAAGCAAGACCTTCAGAGATCTGAGGCTGACAGAGAAAGATTAAAAGACTACTACCATGTGCTGATGTGTCCATGGCTGGCAAGAGCTATCATGAGGCAGCAGGCATCTGGAAAAGAACTTTCTTTCTAGCTTGGAGAGCAGAAATACATTGGCATTGCACTTGGAACGGGAACCCCGCCACATTTTAATTGGTTTTAAAATCTGGATCGGAACATCCCTGCAGTCATACATAAACTGACTATATCCCATAATAGAAGTTGAGTGCATCTTGGCCAACCACCTGCCTTGTGAATTGTTTTGTCTGGGTCTTTCACGGGACAGGGAGTCCTTGTTTTGTAGTAGTTTCACTTCAGGAGACAATCCTTCATATCCTTGTTTGAGGAGAGAATTTGGAATGACAAAAACATCGGAAGGTGGGGGGGGGTCAAATGCTCAATGCCTTGCTCCGTGGGGCTGTAAGAAGCCACTTGCTTTTCTTCATCCCTGAGCATGATGGTTTCCAGATGAGAGAGGTTGGTGTTAGCTGTGTCTGCAGAGGTGGGACTCTACTTGGTGAAAGCACTCTGTGACTCTTCCCACTCACCACGAGGAGAAAGATTAAGGGATGTGAGCAAAGGGATCACCCAGCAATTCCCAACTCCTTACACAAGAGAGTAAACTGTCCTGTAAATTAAATCCCACTTTCTCAGCTTGGAAATAATTGGAGTAAGCCTCACCGAGGAGAACTTCCAACATTTGGATTTGAATGGTTGCCTAGCAAGAGAGCAAGGCAAAAGAACAGGAAAACCAAATTTAGCTGTCTAATAATAGTTTTGATAAAGAGAGTTTTCAGTTTTAAGGTATGATTTTAAATAAAATACAGAGAGGTGCCAGGTCTTAACTCCACAGGGCTCTGCAGTGTCTTCATCAGGAGACATAATTTCAAACTGAGTCTCAACAGAAGGAAGTCCCTCCTGGAACTACAGAAGCTTTGTATAGGAATTGTGGGTGAAAGAATATTTCACAGTGTAGAACTCAGGGTCAGACTTAAAAGTTTTCAGAGCATGAGCCATACTGGCCTCCATGCATGCCCATTTGAACACAACCTTGTGGTATATTGTAGATCTAATTAACATACATACATGGACAGACACAGACACACACACACACACACACACACACACACACACACACACAGAGAGAGAGAGAGAGAGAGAGAGAGAGAGTCCATAGTCAGCACAGTCAGTAATTCTTGGATGTTGCCTTCTAATATCACCCGTATGTTGTCAAGTGAGGGAAGAAAAGATGCAGTGCCATAAATCCTGAGACTTTGAAACTCACCGATAACACAGAAAGGCTTTCGAGCGAACCTCAGTCTTCCTTGCCATCCTCTATAACGGCAGCAGCAACCTGCAGACCAGATTCTAATGATGAACTCCAAGCCGAAGACAACAATCATCACGAACTCCTAAAACATCAGAGCAGATGTCAGAGAGAAGCACTGTAGAGTAATCTACTCTAAGAACCAGTGTGAAAACTTCTGCACCTTTAGGGACTGTGGTTAGAATATCGGACTGATGTCTAGAGAACTTTCTTCTCTAGAAAGCTAGCCTGAAGACTACTGAAGCCTCCTGTTGTGTATGTCTCCTATCCTGGGGTATATGCCTCCACAAGTCTTTAACACTGTGAAAGTGTCAGTTTCAATAGGAAATGTGAAGGTTGAATAGTAATGTTTCCTCACTTGGGTTTAAGGGCTTGGTAAAATGAAATACAATGGCAAGTGCTGTAGACACTATAGCTTCATGGAGCAGCAAGGAATGGCATGATCCCTAAATTTGAGTTGCTCTTAGAGAATACAAGTTTTAGGAGTATTCAGCCTTTGGTTATAGTGTTAGACATTTTAAGCACAGGCTGTTTCAGATGGATAACTATGTGTGTGACACATGTATCGGCTGTCAGAAGTGAGACCCAGAACCCTCCAGATCTGAAGCTTGTTAATTAGCATGCTGCCCTTTGGCAATAGCTGCCTGGGAAACAACACCTGCGCCAGCTAAATGACTTGGAGATTATTTAGGAAGAGCTGTGAGTTAACACTGGGGAAAGGCCAAATACAGAAGCTCTTAAACAGTCGGTCACAGAGGAGGTTTGTAAAAGAAAGTAATTGTGGATAAGTCTAGCAAAGTCACTTGTTCCTACAGGGACAGAACCTGAGTTTATTAAAATTGGTTTGTTTTAAAAGACAACTACCTTTGTTGTTTGAAGGCAAGATCTGTCATTATTTATAATATAGATGATGTATATTAAGCAACTTTAGTATAATGGCTGGGTTATAAAATTGATACACAGTTAATATTAAAGATACTTCACATTACAGGAATATAGATTGGAGAAATATCAAAAGTCTAACACATTTTCCATTAAGGTAAAGTTGTCACCAAACTCATGAAAACTACACTTTTGTGCATGCTTCATGCAATCCTGTCTTTTGTTTATGTGGTGATATGCTATACATTTGAAATGCCTCCCAGAGACATACTATTCTAGCCTCCTGTTGCTGTGCTAAGGAACCCACAAGCATGTCTCATGATGAGAGATAAATCCCTTATAGCACCATTACTCAAAATTATTTGTAACCACTTCTTGGAGCAATATCTGCAAATGACTTATGTACAGACAACCAAATCTATGGTCAACATGCCAATGGTGATGATCTGAGGGCTCTTATTTAGTTTGGTTTGTTTTAGTTTTGAAAGCTTTTGTAAGTAGAGTCTATTCATTTATTAAGGTGTCAAAATGTTACATCATCTGTTTTTTCTTTTTTAATATATTTATTATTTTTTCTTATTTTATATATTGATCCCAGTTCCCCTCCCTCTTTTCCATCCTCTTTTTCTCCCTCCCTCCCTCCTTCCCTCCCTCCCTCCCTTCCTCTCTACCTCTTTTCCTTCCTCTTTTCCTCCCTCCTTTCCTCTCTCTCCCTCCTTCCCTCCCTCCCTCCCTCCCTCCCTCCCTCCCTCCCTCCTTTCCTCCCTTCTTCTCTCCCTCCCTCCTTCCCCCATCCTGTCCCATTTCCATCTGTTTTTAACAGCACATTTTCCAACATGTTCAACCATGCTCAAGTATAAAATGCCCATTCATCTAAGATTGTGTACAACCTAAGTTTAGTAGCATCCCACCCCATTACTCTTTCCCTGGAGTCCCTCTTCTATCGGAAGTTTAGTTGTGAGAAGTTGTAGGGTGGAAGATATTCTTCCCACAAATCCTGATGTGTGGCTTCATCACACAGACACATGCTTCTGTCTCATGTAAACAGAGCACTGAGGGGTCAGTCTCTGTTCTGATTGTGTCACTAAAAGACCAGAAATATGAAAAGAGCCAAACCTTCTGTGGCTGTTTGAGCAGACCCCAGTCTCTAGAACACTAGTTGACACATAACGGAGTCCCAGCTAACTGGAGACCCTCTAGTTGGTGCCAAAGCCCAGGGCATTGCCTGCTTCCTGACCTTTGTCTATAGATACACTGCCTGGACATACCATACCCTATCCCTTGTATTCCCTCATATAATGCGGGTTGTGTGCCATTTGGACTCATTGGACAGTAACTCGATATGACCTTAGCTGATTGGATAATGTATGCATATATGCCAGTGAACACATACATTAAACCAGATGTGCACATTGGTGCTAGTCTCCAGAGTGTTCTTCCAGGGAAACTTGTCTTGACTCCATCTTCTTCCCTCCTCCCGCACTGAGCCACAGGTGAGAGGAAGAAACCCCCACAGATAAAACCAATAGATGCATAAGCACTGTTCTTAAGAAGAACTTGTCAAAAATCACTGCTCTTTGTCTCTTCCGCAGTGAGGCAGGATAAATTATGTCTACAAATTCTTTATTTAAAACCTATTACCTAGGAATATGGATTGATGTGTTGTGGTTTTGTTTTAAAAAGAGATTAGGGAGAAATGCCGCCAACAATGCTTTCTTCGTGAAGCAAAAACTGGTAGAACTGTACAGGAAACAGAGAAATCCCCAGTTATATTTGGGGGCATCACCGTCCCCTTCTCTTAGAAGTGCTTGGACAGAAATAGTGGAGAGAAAGTCAGCAAGTCTAAAGGATCTCCAGATAACAGAGAAATGGGATCTAGATAGAGTTTGCAGCCTCCACAACCACAACATCTGCCTGTTACAAGTGTCTTGATTTAATTCTTTTGTTCATTAAAAAAATTCAAGATAGAGCACACTGTAGGCAATCAATGAAATCACGTGAACTGTGTGTGGAATTACAAGGGAATTCAATCATAAATAATAGTAAAAAGACAAGCAAATCTCTAACCATGTGGAAAATTAAAAATACACTTCTTTTTTGTATTTTATTAGTCAAACAAAAGATTACAGTGAAAATTACAAAATATAACTAACTGAAAGTATATAAAAATACAACCTAACAAAATATGCAACCACAGTAGTGAGGAGAGGTAGGTACATCACAAAATGCTCACTTCTAAATAAAGGTCCCAGACTAATAATCTTAAGACCAAAGTTGAAAAACTGATGATAGGAGAGTAAAATTGGCTCAAAGGAAGCAGCAAAGGGAACTAGGATTCATAAGAGAAGAAGGAAGTAATGAAATGAAAAGTAAGTAAACAGAAAATTAATAGAAGAAAAAAAAAACTAGTTCTGTATATAACAAACAAACAAATAAAATTGACAAATCTTTTTGTAAGAGGATAAAAACCACCAGTCTCAGGCATGTAATAGAGGGTTTCACCATGTCACTAGAGACATGGTTGGCTGTGTCTTTGTGGATGCAGCTTCTGATTGTACTAGAAGACACAATCTCACAGCAAACCCCCTGAATACTTGGCTCTTACAACCTTTTCATCCCTTCTTATACAGCAATATTCCATAAATCCTAGATGCTTGAGTGTTTTGTAGATGTATCTGTTGGGATTAGGCTCCACACTTCTGTATTTGATTGGTTATGGTGTTCGGTAGTGGTCTCCATCTTTTGTAATGAGAATTTTTTTTTTTTTTTTGGTTTGGGTAAAGATTACACTTTTCTGTGGTTATAAAGGAAGGCAAATATTTGGAATGTGGTTAGGGATTATGCTGGTTTAGTAAAATGGTGGCTATAGATTCTTTCCCCAAATCCATGACTTCACTAGCCCTGAGTAGTTGGCTAGGTTTCCAATATGAGGCATGATTTCCTTCTTGTTGAGTGGGTCTTAAATCAAATTAGAGAGCCATTGGTTATTGTCAAGGTATGTGTGCCACTACAGCATCATTAGGGTTTTTGTACCATGCTAGTCATTGTGTGGTTCATAAATTGATAGAGTCTTGCTCATATGATTGCCTAAACATGAGCTGAACAAGGATGGGGAAAAGCCTATGAGGCCTCAACCCTATAGGCAACTAAGGAACGCTAATAGTGGGAGAAATGTCTTCCCAAGGAAGAACACACCAATTTGTCTTCAAGTACCAAAGAGTAGTTAGGCCTGAAAACACACATCCAGGTAGCAATTAGGCTGAGCAAGTTATATTTAGGAACAAATATGCATGTAATAACAATTCACAAGAGACCATGAATTTGAAAAAGGGGGGTTTGGAGAGGGGGGAAAAGGAAGAGGAAAATGATGTAATTATAATTTCAAAAACTAAAAGAATTAAAAAAATCAATAAAAAGATATTAGGAATGATGGTGTGCAGATCAGTTTGGTAATTCAGAAAATTGGACAAAAGCCATGAAAACAAAACAAATAATTTGATTAGTTTTATATCTATAAAAATTTGAATACATAATTAAAAAGCTTTTGCAAAAGCTATGTCTGGGCTAAACAAATTCAATAGTGAAATCAACCCAATAGGTAGATAAAAATGATGCTTGTTCCACACAGGTTTTCCTAAAATACAGAAAACAAAGATAAAAAAATTCCATTTTTCTTATCCAACTTCATACAATTCCTTACAGAAAATAGGAAACATTCCGAATTCCCCTTTTCCCTCCATTGAGACAAGTTCTTGTTGAGTAAATCATGTTGGCTTGGAGAATACTGTGCAGCTCAGGCTGGCTTTGAACTTGTGACTCCCACTGTTCTGCCCCCCTGAGTGCTGGGACCAGGGGCATGTGTCAACATATGCCCTGCACTTAATTCAATTGTTAAAGAAATGACAAATTGATAAATATGGTTTCTAGACTGAGCTTGAATTTCTGAGCTAAAGTCATACCTTCCTGGATAACTGGGACTATAGACATGAAAGCTATGCATGGCTAAAGTTAATAGAATAAGCTAGGGGCTGGAGAGATGGCTCAGTGTGTAAGAGCACATACTGTTCTTGCTGAGGACCTGAATTCAATTCCTAGTACCCACACCAGGAGACTTACAACTGCCTGTAACCCCAGTTCCAGGAGGATCTCACACATCTGACCTCTGGGGGCACTCACATTCATGTGCTCATACCACACACACAC